TATATATAGATTACACTCCTGCATGTACAAATCATCAAGAGGCCAACAGTGACTGTTTCCAATAGAATTTCTGAGCAATATTTATACAACAACAATTATAGTGTACTATAGTACTGTACACGTATAGTATTACAGTACTTTACAGCTTAACTTTCCAGAACTACAGTATTTCAATAAACTACTTAACACATCACAAATTATTATTATAAACCAGATCATAAGTGTATGTTAAAAATGTAAGGTTGTGCTTATCTGCCAACCAGGATAAATATCCATAACAATTCACCAAAAGAAAAAAATATGTTTCAACTAGTTGGTCTTTTGTCTTTGTGTGAATCTAACTGGTAATATAACAATAAAATTGAAGCCAGGTTAACTATAAGCTGGCTCCTGCACGTTCTACACAGACAACAGGTACAGCCTGGTAAACAAAAGCTCTGATTGATGCACTACATCAAACATTGTGATAGAAACAAACTGTATCTAGGCAACTGTGAATATAAAATGGACGATAATAATGTAATAAATTCTGTGATATTTGCCAAGAAAAGGTATCCAGTATTTCACAAGATAATCCTATTGCTTCTCGACATGAGCCAGTAGGTTTCTCTGCCCTAAGTACTGTACAGTTTTCCTAATTAATAATCCTTTCTCACTATATAAGTAAATAAAGTATTAGTCCATTAGGTTAATATAAAAAATAATTAACCACTCAAAAAATTTCTATAAATGATTGCATCTTCCACTTTATTTCATGCTGACTGAGGTAAAAATAAATATATTATGCTCACAATATTTTTTCAATAGTGTCTATGATGAGGGAGTTTAGCCAGTTAATGCTGGTAATGACCCAGTCTGTCCTGTTGTTTAAGTAACAAAATAATTCAGCTCTATAAACTACTAAGAAGGAAAGAGGAATACAGTATAGGAGAAAAATAAATTGAAAAACTAAAGTTAATACTGAATAACAAATAAATGTGAATGACACCATTGTATACAAATGTCATAATCTGAGCAAAGGAATATAATAAAACAGATCTAAAGTGGACTTCACAATACCTGTAAGGCCATCAACACAGGTCAGTTGTGTCTCACATTTGCATGAAGCTCTGCGTGAATGTCTCAGTTTGTGCATTACAAGACACACTGTAGCAGCAATGCAAACATGGAGCAATTTACTTAATATCCAAAGGTGTTGAATGAGACCAATGAACTGAACTGTTCAATCGTTAAACCCACACGAGCAGACAGAAGTAAATCAGCCATGGCTCTCCTTACTGGACGGGTGAGAGTCATACAACTATTGTCTGTGTGTGCATGATTCTCTGTGTGAATGAACTGCTATGACCTTAACTAATAAACCAAGTCATACTTCAAGTACAAGTGTTTATTGTCATGACTGAGGATCTGTAGTACAGTATATTGTCTGTCTGTCAAAGAGAATAGCATGTATTTAATACCATTTATGATATTTTCTCCCCCCCCCCCAAAAAAAAAGTATTAAAATTTATGCATGAAAACTATGCAGCCAACTGCCATATGTCATACTGCATTCATACACTAACAAGATAATTAGATATACTGTATTTTCATATGATGCAAAATTTCCTGTTCAGTATAGTAGTTGTCTTCACCAGCTAAAAGAGAGATTCTACTTTTCTTGAAATAGCAAAAAAAAAATTTATTTCTATTTGTAGGAAGAGAAAGACATTTATTCACATACAAAGTGACAAAACAGGGTGTGACCATGACACTGTCGACGTGTAAATGTATGTTCATGTGTAAATTTATGCACAAACATAAAAAAAAATCGGTTTTTGTTTTTAAATAAACTGAAATTACAATAACGCTGTCCAACACCAAAACAGGAAAGAGTTTATCAGTATAAATAGAAAGTTACACTACAATGATAACATTGTAATACACACAAAATACCTTGTTCTTTATAGGATAAACATAAACTGGTCCTGAAATTAGTAAAGTATACATATTGAGCATATTATTATTATTCATCAGCAGTAAACTCTCTGATTAAAGAGGTTTTCTACTTAATAAGATGCCATCATCCCAATAATATTCCAGGATTGAGCCCAGCATCTCCCTTATTAGAAAATACTCCCACTATTTCCCATGCAATATACAGCACAGTACAGTCCCCCTCCCCTGAGATACTGGTCGAGTCTAGATGGTGACTAGTCAGCTGCTTCCCGCACCACCATCATTGTGTACTGCCTCACTCATAAATTCAGGCTGTGATAGGTACAGCCAGTTCACAAGTTCCTCAGTTCTTAATCTGGAATTGTCTTGATGTCTTTTTGAGCATTTTTTAGCATTTATTATTCTGTGTAATTATGTAGTATAGTACAGTACAGTACAGTATACTTTACAAAATAGTGCAGGGATTCCCCAATTAACAAAAGGACTCGTTCCTGAAAACCTTTCATGAATTGATTTTTCGCAAATTGGATCACTTTTCCCCACAGAATCTCATTATAAAAGTTGAGATACGTTCCTACAAAAAAAAAAAAAAAAAAAAAAAATATATATATATATATATATATATATATATATATATATATATATATATATATATATATATATATATATATATATATATATATATATATATATATATATATATATATATATATATATATATATATATATATATTACACGAAAGCACTTAGGAACTTTGTGTTTTCTTGTGGTTATCAGTGTATATATATATATATACACAGTGGTCCCTCGGTTAACGAGTTACCTTCCATAAGATTCTTAACTTCGGTTAACGAGCAATCCCTCGATTAACGAGTATCTTACGAGCTAACCTGAACATGTTTTTGCTTGCATTTGGCGGTCCACCAGCTGTAGTATTAGTCCGCCAGTACAGTAATCGGTTCTAGAGTTTAAATTCCTTACCATTTTAGTAAATATCAAGAAGTGTATACTATTCAATAATTTTTAAAGTTTAATATTAAATTTTTTTTTTAGTAATTTTAACAATTATTGAACATGCCATCCAGCCTGCCAACACACCATGCAGGTGTCAGTCTTTGTGTCTTTTTAGTGGAGGTAACATCTTGCTTGAGACTCTCTTCAACTAAATGCTTTTTTCTGTGTTTGCAAGAAAATTATTGGTCATTTTGAAATTTATTTTACATATTGACAATATATAATGCAGTGCAGTGTTGATTTAAAGGACATAATCTTGAATTACACCAAGAGAACTAAAATTTTATGGGTGAAATGGCACCATGGGGTGACTTCTCTTCCACCCCAATGCCTTCTCTTCTCCTCCACCCCCATTCTAATTCCCATCATCATCATCAGCATCATCATCATCATCCAGGAGCCTTCTACATACACACCTCAAAGTAAGTGTACTTTTCTACCTTTTTTGTTGAATTTAGACAATTTTCGGTGAGCTGGAACCAATTACCCCAAAACCCATTGAAACAATGGTTTCGGTTAACGAGCAACCTTCTAGAACAGATTGTGCTCGTTAACCGAGGGACCACTGTATACACTTCTGGTAGCGAAGAAAAAAATACTTAGCATAATTTAAATATTATTGACAAAAATTTAAAAAAAATAATTTTTTGGTTCGTAAATTGAATCATGTGACAAAATTTACTCATTCAGAACTCCGTATTTTGGTAAACCAAACCTTCATAAATCAGGGACTGCCTGTACTGTTTTCTAAATGCATTACAATACAAATGAATCATCATTACTGGTCTATTAATTAAAAGAAATATTATAAAAAAAAAAAAGATTCTTATTCAAAGATATTCTACTAAGTGTACAGTACTGTACTGTACTGGGATCTTGCTAGACCAAGTCTACCATTAATAAGAGAGTTTACTTTACCTGTACAGTACCTAAAACACCATCCCTCTCAAGATAATATGAGCAGCAGAAGCATACATTATTGTCCAACAAACATTATATGCAAGTATCTATTCCAAGAAATACCTGACAGAATTAAAATATCAAATAACATAAAAGGCTACAAACACCAAAAATTAAGCTTACATTACTATATACAGTGCAGGTATACAAAATTTATGAATATTTCAAAAAATTTAGTTGAAATACAGTTTTGCTCTTCATGGGCATTAAAACTCCTGTGACCATAGCAACAGTCATGAGGCTCAACAAGGTACTGTGTAAAACAAAGGTACACCACTGATATTCCGGGAACTGATGGTCTGGCACCTCCTATAGTCCGGGCAGAATAATGAGAGGGCATTTAACTTCCCTCCCAGCCAGGGTGAAGGTAGTTTTAGGCTTAAAGTTTTTATCTTGTAAAATGAAGCTGACTAGACTTAGCAGAATATAACTTGCATTGCTGGAATTCTTGTAAGATAGTGATTAATTTGAGTATAAACACCACACAGTTTGCACAAGAGATAAACCTTTTAGTCCTTTAGTGTACAGTACTGTAGTACATTTGAGTACAAAGTGAGTACCGTACAGTAATATGTTGCTTAAAATTATGGCTTTTTCACATTTAATTTACATTTAACATTTGTTTAATTTAAGTTTCTAGCAGTCCATGGTGCTTTAGAGACATGGGAGGTGTATCATTAGTTGGTTAGGGGTGTATTGTTGAATTATTATTATGTGACCTCGGTTTGTCCGGCAAAACGGATAATCAGCAAGGCTTTGGAACCAAGGGTGCCGGAAAATCGGTGGTGTACCTGTACAATAAAATACATTCAAACTAGAAATAACCAAACACACTAACCCTAACCTAACAGTGTCTACTCCAGTATGACCTCACCTAAGTGAGGTAGGAGGAGGTTTGATTTATCGGACATTCTACAGTATTACAGTACTGTACTAAATTCTGTTTTATTTCACCAAAGTTACAAAGGTTTTCCATAATAAAAAGACAACTAATGGGTTTCTTATTTGGCACAACATTTGTGTATGACTGAATTAAACTTTATATTATTACCAAAATTACATACAGTACTTGTACTCATATACAATATTTTGGTAAATTTACAAATAATATACCCTTTATTTTTTTTTGGCACTATAAATGGTAAGAACAGCAAAACATCCAAATTTCTGAAGGTCTGTGTAACTGAATTTTACATATCCACAACACCCAAATGATATTAGAGTACTATACTGTATAGTACATACAGTACAGTGTACAGGCATCCCCCGGGGTTATGGCAACTCAGGTTACGGAAATTCGCTCTTATGGATTTTGTAAATTATGACCCATATATCTGGGATACGGACAAAAAATTTCCCATTACGGAAATTGGGTATAAAATATTATAAGCTTTTTTTTTCAATACCTGTACTATAAGAACAACTATAAGAACAAAATTCAGAGATGTTAAAATTTCTTTCGTGTGAATTTCTTGGTGGTTGCTACAAAACTGCACAGTGGGGACGCCGCGTACCCACGCCACGCCAACCCGTTCTGTTTGAACCCACGTGCGGGGTCGTGTGCGATTGGTCTCGCGACACTTACATACTTCTGTATTCAGGACTGTATTACTGTGTACCCTTATTCAAGATAACTGGAAAGAGGCCAAGTTCAAGTGAAAGCAGTGGTGCTAAAAGATCCCATAAAGGAATTACATTGGACATTAAGCTTGATGTTTTATGGAGGTTTGATGCGGGAGAAAAACTTAGCCAGGTTGCAAAAACATTAGGCCTTGCTACGACTACAGTGTGCACAATACGTGATAATAAAGACAAAATTAGGTCAAGTGCTCAATTGGCTACTCCTGTAACTGTCCGTACATTGTTTTTTCATAGACGTAATGTGATGCTTAATATGGAAAGACTTGAATTTGTGGATTGAAGGCCAAACAAAACGGAATGTGTCGCTAAGCACGATGATCATTCAGGAGAAAGCAAAAAGTTTGCACGAGGATTTGCAGAAAGAACAAGGTGCAAGTTCTGATGCAAAACCTTTTCAGGCGAGTAAAGGATGGTTTGAAAGGTTTAAGAAGAGCCTTCATTTGCATAACATTACGATGGTCGGTGAAGTTGCTAGTGCTCATGCAGAAGCTGCATGTAAATATCTGGAAGAACTGAAGAAAATTATTGCTGAAGGCAGCTATATACCAGAACAAGTGTACAATGTGGATGAAACCGGACTTTTTTGGAAGCGCATGCCTGCTAGGACGTTCATTTCCAAAGAAGAAAAGTCGGCACCAGGTTTTAAAGCTTCAAAAGATCGTCTAACTCTTCTTTTGGGAGGAAATGCTGCTGGTGATATGAAATTAAAGCCTCTTCTTGTGTACCACTCTGAAAATCCAAGGGCTTTCAAGGGCTACGCCAAGCCTAAACTACCAATGACTTGGCGTTCAAACAAGAAAGCTTGGATGACCATGAGCCTTTTTCAAGACTGGTTCACAAACTATTTTGCCCCTGCTGTTGAGAGGTACAGTAACAAGCGTAATATATCCAAGAAAGCTTTGCTCCTCTTAGATAATGCACCCAGCCACCCAAATAACCCGAATGATCTTTCTGGTAATGTACGAGTGGAATATATATCCAAGAACACAACTGTCTTGCTCCAGCCAATGGATCAAGGTGTGATTGCAAACTTTAAGGCAAGGCCTATTACCTAAGAAGAACATTTAAACAGCTCATAGCAGCAATTGATGGGGAGGATAAACCAATAATTAGGGACTTCTGGAAAAGGTTCAACATCATGAACGGTGTGGAGAACATAGCCAAGTTGCCGGATGAAGTTAAACCATCAACTATGCATGGTGTGTGGAAGAACATATGGCCAGAGTGCATCAACGACTTTCAAGATTTTCACCAAGCAGAAACCATTAATAAGTTCAGCAAGACATTGTGACATTTGCAAATAATGTAGGCTTTGAAGTTGTGCAAGATGATGTGGTTGAGTTACAGGGGTATTAGAGTACCATAGAGAGGATCGCACTTGAGTTGACAACAAAGCATTTGGCTGAAGGGTTTGCACTTGTAGAGGAAGCTTTGCAAATCTTTGCTACTAACGATCCTGACCATGAATGCAACCTCAAAGTTTCAAGAGAAATGCAGAATAGTCTCAACTGCTACAGGGAGTTGTACAAGGACAAAATGTGCCGTCAATGCCAAACAACCTTGGACAAGTTTTTGGCCCCAAGAGCAAGGCCTGTAGCAGATGAAGTAGATGATGATGGTTTACAGGGCGAGGCAGGAGCCAGTAGTGCCCCTCCGTCTGCCTCCCAGTAACTTTGATTGCACCACCTTACCTCACCACCTCACCTAATGCAGCACTCAACATTGTTTGTGTTAAGTTAAATTCAAGTGTTTTGTATATTTATTATCATATTATATCATAAAATAATAAAAGTATGTGTAAAAAAAAAATTAGTTTCATTCATAAATGTGCTTGTATTACGTCTTTTTGACAAACAAATTTCCTTGGGAATGCATCTCAAATTATATAATGAAAGTCAATGGGGAAATTGGTTTAGTATTACGGACAAATTTTCACGAACACACACCTTCCGTAACCCCGGGGATGCCTATATTACAATTTAACTGAGTTCATCTGTATAGCTGAAACTCCTACATAGTCCCATTAATATTGTCATAAATGCAACTGAATAAACAGAGCTGCTCCTCTTTATTCTGTACTGCCAGTTTCACATTATTTTTATTAGAACTTTCATTTTCTTACAATTTCTTTCATTTCTATATATTTTGTGCTTATCAGCTATTTTTTTTTGCATATGGGTAAGTGAGGGACTTACAGACACCCATAAGTAGGTGCTTTCTTAAGGCCTCAGAAATGGTTCCCTTCTGATGTGTGGACTTGTAATGTATACACTCAGTTTCAAGCTTCCTACTGTATAGTGTTCTACAGTTCTGTACACAACACACCAACACATATAAGACATATAAGTGATTCTTAATAACTTAAGAAAGAGGATTTATCATAATTCACTGATTGTAAAATGAGAATTTACTTCAAAACATCATGTATTATAGGAAGATTTTTTTTTCTTAAATAACATACGAAGCAGCACTGAAGTAAGATATCCCCTTTTATACTGTAGCAGAGGGGAAGAAACATGTGACCTGTGGCACTCTACTACAATAAGACCCCCTGAAAGAGCTTGCCTTATCCTGGAGGGGGATCTGCATCCTGTCAGATCAGTGTACAGTTGTTGTATAAACATGTACTTGGCCAGATGACCTGATTTGAAGCAGAACCTAAATTATGATGAAAGATTGTGTAGTTAGTTAGGTTAGGTAATATTAGGTTAAGTTAGGTTAGGTATATTTAGGTTAGATTATAATTATTAGATCAGGTAAAATTAGGTTAGGTAAAATAAGGTTAGCTTAGATAGGTAGGCTTAACAACATTTCTGACATCAACACAGAGACGGCCCCCTGGATAGACACACTCTGCCAGGAGGTGCTCTGGTGGCGGACACTCATGCATCACACAATGAATAACCAATATACTATACAGCAAAAGTAATGTTGGATAGAATGCCAAAGTTGGAAAATTATTCCAATTATACAAACTATTTTCCATTTGTAGTTAAGTATTAATATTCCTTAAGTGAACTACAGTTATATAAACAAAAACATATAATAATCATCATACTGAACTAACATAATAGTGTAAGTATTTTGATGCTGTATTCAAGATGATTGTTTACAACATTTTTCTAAATATAATCGTTTCAATAAATAAATTGATAAAGCAACTGCATTTCTTACCTGTACAGAGAAAAATATAAAAATATAAATAAAATGGTAAAAATCAATTGAATTGACAGATATATATGTCATGATAAGTGTACGAACAAAAAAAACAACAAAAAACACTGAACTGGGAAGCAGGTCTTACTGCATGATGGCATCTAGTATTGTGTGCTGTTGGGTGATCATTAGCAGCCAGGATCATAGTGTAAATGTGACCACAAGGAAGTGAACTACTGTAACCGCTGTCACACTGTAATCTCCCGGGTAAATAAGCTGCCCTCTGACCCTCAATAATTATCTCTCACGGTCAAACATTAACACATAAATAAAGACATCCCATCTCTACATTATATAAAGTAACAAAAAACAAAACAACATCAGTATTGGCACTATTAACAAAATAACAAAAACAAAAGTAAAAATAACTAGCTACCCCGTTGCTGAGTGAGTGATGAAGATGATGATGATGACATATTTTTAACAGAGAGAGAGTACAGTATATACAAGTTCATAAACATCTACTGTACTATTTATTACATCATCGTGCCTGTAAAGGAATTTAAAGCTAATTACTTGAGCTGCCAAGGAACTCCAACCCTAAAGGCCAGCCTCTAGGTTCATTACCTTACAACACAGACAACAAAACACACACAAACATAAGTCATGAAATACTTAGAGTATTCAACCATAGTGAAACTGATCTATTTTCATGCCTGATATATTGTATGCTATCATTACACACAACCTCAACAACAATTTGAAAGCTTTTCTAGCTAATAAAATTACATAAAAGATGTTTTAAATATTGCATCAACAGCTTGGCCTAAAAAATTCTGATCTTCATTACCAACACAGGTTTGACTTATTGACCTTCTGTACCATAAATACTGTACTGTACTCCTACATTTTGTTCTTCCTTAAAGGTTTCATGATATGCACAGTACAGTGGTGGTGTTACAAACTTGTGATGCTTAATTGAACAGTAAGAGGCCAACAGGAATGGTACTTTCCAAAAGCAGACCAATATTAAACTACTTTACAATGTCCTTACTGCAAGGTCAAGGTAGCTTATGCATGTACGAAGGTAATAGAAGTGGTTAAATGGGGTAATTAAAGCATGCAATATGGAGCAGTTTGTTATATAAAATGAATTAATGTTCACCATGAAGGAGAAAATTTAGGAATTATTCCTACATCATCAAATGTGATCAAGAATCATTGATTAGTTACAAAAAACTGCACTGAGAAAAACAAAGCACAGCATAAAAAAAAATGTCCATCGAACCAAATAGGAAGTACAGAACAGCACACCTCTTGTACTACTAGTACCTTGATGGTGAGGTCTGCGAGTCATCATGGTACTGTAATAACAACACACACATACACACACACCTACAAAGCTCATGAGTTGTCACGTCAAATATCATGTATTCAAAATAATTCACAAGTGAACAATGTCTACATCCGAGCAGTAATACCTTTCCCATTACAGATTTATTATTTCTACTGGTGTCTCCTGCTGCTGTGCGTAAAGTGAATGTCAACTTTAAGAGGCCTTACAAGTTGATCATCACTACAAGAGCCGACCATACCACTGTAGCTGGTGAGAGACCATGTGTTCTTACAGTACATTGTAATTTTATATTTCAACAACTAAATCACTTCATACACTGGACAAAACTATTAAATTTTAAAAGGGACACATTTCTACATGTACCTGGGGGTGACCATTATCCAAGTCACATTTAGCATCTCTCATGTGATCAAATATTTTACGGGGCAAAGCAATTTAATAAGAGTGTTGATAACGACATACAATACGCCTGCCATGTAAACATGTATTTGGAAAGTGATGTTACAGCCTAGCAACTGAAATTCTATCTTCATTACCTGTAACCCTGACCTTTATCCTAAAATCAACACTTCTCCCCTTGTCCAAGAGTAACCTCCCTATCTCAGTTGGAGTGCAGGATTGCATGTTCTCCTTTGTGCACTAACCCTAGGGCATTTAGCTATAAATAAGTACACTATCTGATATGCTTATCAACTATGGAAAAAACTTTACTGCATTAGCATCCTGTCATGGGGGTAGGATAACCCACCATCTGCTGAAAACTAAGAATAAAAAGTCAGCACTTGCTCAGCCACCCCGGATCAGAACATGAAAAGGCTGTACGTGTCAGCATCATCTTCATCAATGTTCTACAGCTATTTTCCACACTTATGTGGGTTAGCAGCGATTACCTGATGGTAGCTATCCATACTACACAGTCTCTTACAGATTCTCTCATCAGGTTCATAACTCTAATATAATTTCTTACAACCTTGCAAGATGCAGATAATAGGAAATACAGCAATCAGGAGACAAGAAAGTAAAAGGTCTCCTCAGTTTGAATAGACAAAGTAGGAAGTGAAACATTGACACACACAAAAAAAAATATGATGGGCACCATTCAGTTCCAGATGGCATGAGGGAGAGGGGAAGACTAAGAAGATAAAGGAAGGATAAGGTGAAGGATGCACTAACAGTTCTGAGTGAGGAATAGTCAAGAAGGAAACAGTTATGTTCATGAAAGAGTGAAGAACTTGGCATTAAATAATTTTGAGGGCAGGACGTGCTGCTGGTGAGTGACACTGGCTTCTCTGCAGCTACAGCGGTAAAGTAGATTTGGGGCCATGTTGTGGAGGGGAAGTACCAAAGCAGAACACAGCTTTTATTAAAGAATGAGTGAATAAATGGACAATGTGTGTGGATGTGTGTTCTCAATTCCAGCCACTATACCATTATGTTGGAAAAGGCTTCAAAATATATATATTTATACAGAAGTGTAAACTGAACATACAAAGTCTAACCGGTTCTTAAACACCTCAAGATCCCACACACAGAAGATATAAGATGTGAAAGATACAACAAAGCTCAAAGTGTTATGGTAATTAATAAAAAAATTCTTGATCAATGTTCAATAATATGTTTGGTATGACATTAAAATCTGTCCTCCTCAATGCCTCCTGTACAAAAATCATCAATTCAAGAACAAATAATAAAATCCTAGACATTAGTATGGCATTCAAGACTTTATATAGACCCATCATCCCTCCTCTATTCTCTTGAACCAATCAAAGCAAAAACTATAATACACTAAACAAAAAGATGATGTGAGACATAATTTAAAAGCTAAATCAAAAGCAAATGGATCAAATGATGGAACCAACACATAAAAGTTATGTGAAAAGACGTGTAAACTAGATGGCTGGCTATTTTGGGGCTTTGGTGTACACGAAGAACATCACTGCCGCAATATACATCTCTTATAGGAATTATAGTGAATAAGTGACAGCACATGAAGAGCAAGTCTGTGTTTACTTTGGTTTCTGGCCACCCTTTTATGATAATGGGTTAAAGCTTACACACACACACACACACACAGAGAGAGAGAGAGAGAGGGGGGGACATTACAACACTATACTATATAACACTGTATCTAGTAAACTCTGAAAAAAGAAAATCTGGTTACATCTGATGAGCATGTTCAAAATTTGGCAACACATCTGGATACTCGAGCTTCCTTCTCTGGACTACTGTATCTCCCTCTGGCTCAACAACTGAGTGATCCCTGGGCTCTGATTATAAAAACACTAATGAATTGATCTGTCTGAAATTAGTGCACCTCTCTACACTGCCTACATAGATTCAACCAGACTGGAACAGACGTGCAGAGTTTGTTAGTGAATCCAGTACCTCTGCCTCTGAAAACAGTAACTTTTTAGTCCAATTTTTATGTGTGCATTGGTTTTCTAAGCTGTCTAATATTTGTCTTAAAGTGTAGAAATTATCCTGAAATGGAGAAAGGTAAACCCTCAAGCCTCAAAGGTCTTGCTGATTTTACAGTAAATAAAGCAAAGAGCTCCCTCAAATTTTGTGAGACAGCCCCTACACATATACTGCGGCCCAGAACACAAAAGGTGCCTGCAAAATATCGATATAATGCAAGCGTCAATTTCCGATTCAATCTAGTCTTGTCCAGCCTTCATGACCTTGGGAGCTGAGACTGCTCCGGACTTACAAGTTATGGTGTACAGTAGTGTAGTTGGCACAATATGGTAACTTAAAGGAGCATCACTGATGGAAGATTAAACACCACTGAGGTCTTAAACACCTGTTATAAATTCATGAAAACTCTGCTTTAAAATGAAGTATCTTTCATATAAATCAGGAATTATTATGTTGTTAAAAATATTTTTTAGATGCATATAAAGCTGCCAATAAGTCAGATACAACTTGGAGGAACTCGATAGACCCTGACCTAGATGCAGAAAAGCAGAATTAATTGGCAATTTCACAACCCCCTTTCACAACTTGCCTTGTACATAGATAAAGAATATTTAAAATTTCTGGCAACAATACATTTTGACACAATGTATTTATGTACTTGTAGCATAAAGTATGGAAGAAGTAAAATTTAATCTACTCTTATCAAAGTAACAGCAGTACTGTATCTATAAAAAATATCTAAATATACTTTGTTACACATTTCATGTCAATCTATTACAAAGTATAATGTTATGTTATATGTTGTAATGGAAAATATCTTTTTCTTTACACAGACACCATTCAAAATTTACATATCAGCAAAATTATTACTACATCCACTGTTTATCTGATGTAGGGAGGGACATGGTAACCAGGCTAAGTATAACACCACCTGCTGCATATTACAGATAATTCCTTTTCTTTAAAACATATTCATCAGTAAATCTCACCTTCAATTACAGTATGATAACATATAACAATGCTTACTACTCTACATCATCTAACCACCAACGTTCACCTTAATCACAAATCTAACAAGTCTTGACACTACTGAAAATGAGTAATTAAAAATTGAACACCTAACTGCTACAGTTTTACAAGACAATAGTGTTTATGCTGTGACATAAACAACAAACAGAAGTGTTAGAGCTTCCAATGTGGGATCTTATTTGTTACCTCGTGTCTGTGAACCCGTGTAATGCGACGAGGTTGACGGTGAGGCCGCTGCGTGACCAATATTATGATTGTGCATGACTGTCAGGTGAGGTGTGCTGTTACCATTGATGTCTCCATTGTTGTTGATGTTGTGGGTGTTAGTGAGGAGCGGGGAGAGCAGGGAGAGAGGCAAACCGTCACTCACGCCCCCGACGGTAAGGTCGTCACGCGAGGAGTATGGAGGAGGTGGTGCTCCAACAACCTTGAGAAAAATTCACACAAACTATTAATACTACTACAAAACTTCCTGAGGCCATCCTACCTTGTCATTGCTCTTTGAAAACTTGATTTGGAAGAATAATATCCCAGTGTACTTTTATACACTAGAATGACTCAGTCAACCAACTTTACTTACCTAAGGCTATAATGAAGTGGATAAAATAATGAAATTGTTCTTAAAATACTAATATGAATTTCCTTTGAATAACCTTAATTCACACTTTAACTGTGGAAAATGGTTTACCCCACCACTCAAAAATGCAACAATGAATCAAATTTATTGTTTTCCAATTCTCTAACTCTTCTTCTTGATCCATACATAATTCTTTTATCTTTCTCTGCTTCTCCTTTTTAACGTTCTCTCTCGGATACATCTACTCAGGTAAACCCTCACCCCTTCCTTATAAAGTAGACTGGTGTTGAGTAAATTACCTCACCACTCTGACCTTCGTGTGATGGCCACCACAACAAGCACCAGACCCTTCACATTTACAGGGGAATGATTATTGACCATAAAACCCGTGATAAATTGTGTTAACAACAGATCTCTAAGACAAAGATGTTAATTAAAATTCACAGCTGAGTATTACATAATCCTACATACAAGTAGCTGACCCACATCTCTCTAATTATCTGTCTTTGATTCCTAAATTTGTCACAGCAATAAAGTTTGTGTTTTCATCAGCATTATACTCCATTTATGAACAAAATATATCAAAACCACTAACACTATCAATAGTCATTGATGATGTGCATTAATTATCAACTTAAGTACTGATGTGTTTGTATAATAAAGGCAAATTAACTGAATCTCAAGGATAACAAATAAACATTACAATGTGACAACACTTCATGTGGGTTAACTTGCCTGATGGTACGAGGGAGGTGGACCTGTAGGGCCATTAGGAAGCTGGGAGTAATGTGGAGGCTGAGAACTTGAGGGAGGACACAAGACGACTCCACCACTAAACGGTCGCTGTTGACGTGTACACTGGTGGCGCTGTTCACGCAAAATTTCCGGAGCTAATAAATCGGAACGTAATCCAGGGATTATTCTGGAGTACAGGTTATCCGCTGACCTCAGCTGATACTGATCTGTGGTTGACGGAGGGGTGATAGAGGAGCTCAGGCCAAATGGACGGAGAGTTGCAGATCGTAGTCGATTTAGGTGATAGTGAGCACGAGAGGAGGTACCGTTTGAGCGCCACAGGTGGTATCGCACTCCAACAATAATGGCTACTGTTACTAAATTTGCGACTGCCACAATACATCCTGGAAGAAACATAGAGAGAATATTTATAAACACAGGCACCGCCTTTAGGTTAAGACACAACGGAATAAGGAAAGAAGTGTAGCAGAAATTCTGTGCTACTTGATGACAGCCCATGTTTGCCCTAACTAGACGATGATTCTGCCCACCACTTATCTTTATCTGCAATCTATAAAAGTTCCGAACACTAATGAACTGAGGATGACTATTCAGAGAAAAAAGCATCATCTATGGTTGCCATGGGACTCCAAACCACCTAAAACACACCCATTTATGTTAGGCTGATACAGTAACTGCAACCGGAAGCTTACTAGAAAGTACAATAATAACACACCAAAATCAGAGTTATCTTACCCATAACAAGCGTTGAATCTGGTTGGTTGTTCCACTGTTGGTGAAGGCTGGGTTTTGCCTCCAAGTAATAAAGGTCCTGATCAAGGAGAGCTGCAAAACAAATATAAGTACAGAATATGTTTGAGGCAACAGTAGTGAGAAAAGCTTACTTGTGTGCTGCAAACTAACACTAAACATATCCAATTTTCAGATTAACTTTGTACTATAATGCATATAGAGGATAATGAGTAAGGAAATGTGGCTATAAAGATAATAAGTATGAGTATAAAGAAAATAGAAATTCACCCTTAAATTATTTCCCCAATTGAAATCTTTGGCTATATACAATATCTTGACTGTAAAACAAAGGTGCATACTGTATCCATATAATAAAAACAAAGACTCAACTCTATAATTACAGCACAAAAAAAAAATTATCATTACTGTACAGCAAATAAAAAACATTAAACAAGACTATTTACAGAAGACATTCTTCATGTACATTGCAAGGGGCCTAAAGTTGAAAATGAATTCACACAAACACATACAGTATGTACACACACACACACACACACACATGCACAAACACTCTTCATTTGCTGTCAGCTATTACCTCTTACAGCTGAAACAAATGAGCTATGGTGTCCACTTTCACAACAAAGCCCCAAACACCTATACCTGGTTTCTGAAATAGTTGTGTGGTAAAAGTTTGTTACCAGGGCACCCCGTAAGGTATTTTTCTCTTTATAATCTATCTAAAATATAATAACCTTAGATTCTTTTGTCATACCTTATGACTATGAAGCTTGTCACTCATGAATTTTGCCACTTTTTATCAAACAATTGTATCATCTCTCCCAAACAGAAACGTAATACTGTACATCATACCAACTTTACTAGGACCTTATGACTATGAAGCTTGTCACTCATGAATTTTGCCACTTTTTATCAAACAATTGTATCATCTCTCCCAAACAGAAACGTAATACTGTACATCATACCAACTTTACTAGGAGGAGGAGAATATAAATAATAATACAGTTCAATAATAACAAAAACAACAGCAGCAGCAAAAATAATAATCATAATAATACAGTAAGCCTTCGATAACTCGGCACATATGGCGCTCTGGCCTTGTCGAATTATCCTAAATTCCAACTTATTGAGGCACTTTCCCCCCTCCTACAAAAATACAACACTAAAAAATTATCGATCGATAAATGTGTACATGTAATTACTAAATGTAAAAAAGTAACACTTACCAGCAATGCAGGTGAAGAATGGAGCATCATAGTAGGTGAGACAGAGGTATGGTAGGTGACACAGGCATGGTAGGTGTCACAGAGGCATGGTAGGTGACACAGAGGCATGGTAGGTGACACAGGTGGCCAGATATACTGAGATTTTCCCAGATAATTTTATATATCTCGGCATTTCCCGAGTTATACTATAATACATTCCGTGAATATGTCTGTGCTGAGTTATAAGAAATTTTGAGTTATCAAATGCCAAGTTATCGAGGGTTTACTGTAATAGCAATAATAATAAAAAATAAATAAATACAAATAAAGAAAGAACATTTAATACCTACCAGGGTGGACCAGCTGCCTGCAACACTGTATTGTGGCCTCTATGGTACAGTTTGGAGGAGACTGATCACGTTCTTGGCAGCATATATTACGAGCCAGGCAACGTCCGTCATTGCAAGCCAGCTTATTTGAACAGACATCTGCACCTAAGGAATACAAGAAATTTAGAATGAAGAGGATGTAGATAAATGAGTGAAAACTGAATAATAGGCTTAATGGCTTCACTTTTATTTCCACTGCTCTTGTTTCTGATATGTGCACGGGATGTTGTTGTCGTTTATATCTTCACATCTGTATTGTATGCTGAAGGTTTAGGGGTACTGTACTGTATGGTCTAATTTGTGTTGGTGTCTTGCATATTTTTCCCTTAACCTCATCCTAAAGACTTGCCCTTAAACTTATTCAAATCACCAAGACTTGCCCCTCAACCTCCACCTAATAACTAAGACTTGCCCCTCAACCTCCACCTAATAACTAAGATTTGCCCCTCAACCTCCACCTAATAACTAAGACTTGCCCCTCAACCTCCACCTAATCACTAAGACTTGCCCCCAGACCCAACTCTAGGTGAGACATGATTTATGCCCCCTCCCCCATTATCTCATGGGAAAACGTCCCCATCCTGCCCCTCCCGGTCCCATCCTCAAAAGGAAAGCAAATCAGTACCAACAATTTGTTGTTGCTACTATATATTATTACTTCAGTAATTTATATATCATATAATGTTATTCCTATGACACTTGTTTCCCAACAGCATTATTTATGCTAATGACAGTAAGCCCAGTAAGCCTATCCTGAGCCATCTTAGACCTTAAGTATGTTTTGATAAGCTTAAGCTTTGAGAAGCTCCTCTCTGCTGAAGCTACAGTTACAGGCAGAGTGACTGCTATCCTCAGAGCTCTCCACTTGTTTGGATAAAGCTCTTTAATCTACTTTTCACATATATATTTAAGAAGTTCCAATGCTGTCATTTCATCAGAGGGTAAGTCTGGTAGATTTCTCATCTCAAAGGCCAGTTCTTTTCCATCAATATTTGACTCTCCACCATAGCTCAGGGTGTCACTCACCTCCTGACATTGTGTTGCGAGTGAATCAATGGACAGTTCTTTGAAGTGAAAGAGACCTCCAAATTTGTCTCAAACTTCTCCCAGGCTCTGGAATCTTTCATTGAGTGATGTGATGGCAGAGTCTACCACCATATTGAAATTGGCTCACCTGGAGCTTCATATCCAAAGTGTATCTTTGCCATTCTAAGTCTCTTTTCCTTTAACACAGCCTCCACATTCATTTCCTTGCACATGTCCTTAGCTGATGCTTGTGCTGAGACAAATCCATTCTCACGGGAGCTCACCAGGGAGGCTTTAGTGTGCTTGAGTAAGCTCATAGCCAAATCAAGCTGCATGGTTGTAGACTGCATGAGTTTGCTCACTTGTTGTATTTGTTGCGGAATGTCATACCATACCATGGTGCACATAAAAAAATGGTAAGACTCAACTTCCTCTGCCAGTGACTGGGCCTCTGTCCTTGTGACAGGGTCTGTGAATTTGTTCCTCTTATCCAGCAGGACCTCCCTTACTTGTTTAGTTTGACAATGGACAGCCTCTATAGCTTTGATATGGCTTTCCCACCTTGTATCTGACCATGATTTCAGGGAGATGTCTACCCTGTTCTTCAGTATTGCCCATTGTTGTGTTGCAGCTGAAAACATAGTACTATAGCAAATATGTCAGGAAATAAATTATAACAACAGAACAAGAATAAATAATGTTATTGTACTCGACATAGAAATATTAAGAAATCAGTAATAATTAATTTATTGTAATGCTTTTTAAGGTTCAAATTTTTATTATAGGAGTTCCTAACTCGGCAGATACCTGTAACTTGAAAAATTCACACTCGGCCAGCCTCAGAGATTTTTAACTAAATTTTTGAAGGAGGCATCAGGGGGTCCCTTATAAGCTGCGGGGCAGCCTAGTCCGTCTATGGCTCAAGCCGGGCCTGCTTGCCCCTCAACCTCCTCCTAATCACTAAGATTTGTGAGTGTCTTAACTGAGATATAAGAGTGTCTTAACTGAGATATAAGAGTGTCTTAACTGAGATATAAGAGTGTCTTAACTGAGATATAAGAGTGTCTTAACTGAGATATAAGAGTGTCTTAACTGAGATATAAGAGTGTCTTAACTGAGATATAAGAGTGTCTTAACTGAGATATGAAAGTGTCTTAACTGAGATATAAGAGTGTCTTAACTGAGATATAAAAGTGTCTTAACTGAGATATAAAAGTGTCTTAACTGAGATATAAGAGTGTCTTAACTGAGATATAAGAGTGTCTTAACTGAGATATAAGAGTGTCTTAACTGAGATATAAGAGTGTCTTAACTGAGATATAAAGTGTCTTAACTGAGATATAAGAGTGTCTTAACTGAGATATAAGAGTGTCTTAACTGAGATATACTGAGATATAAGAGTGTCTTAACTGAGATATAAGAGTGTCTTAACTGAGATATAAGAGTGTCTTAACTGAGATATAAGAGTGTCTTAACTGAGATATAAGAGTGTCTTAACTGAGATATAAAAGAGTGTCTTAACTGAGATATAAGAGTGTGTAACTGAGATATAAAGTGTCTTAACTGAGATATAAGAGTGTCTTAACTGAGATATAAGAGTGTCTTAACTGAGATATAAGAGTGTCTTACTGAATATAAGAGTCTTAACTGAGATATAAGAGTGTCTTAACTGAGATAGAGTGTCTTAACTGAGATATAAAAGTGTCTTAACTTGCAGAGATATAAGTCTTAACTGAGATATAAGAGTGTCTTAGCAGAGATATAAGAAGTATGCTTAACGTTGAAGATGTAAGTGTGCTAGCAGAGATATAGGTATCTTAACTGAGATATAAGAGTGTCTTAACTGAGATATAAGAGTGTCTTAACTGAGAGATATAAGAGTGTCTTGGGAAGCCAAGGTATGTAACTGAGATATAAGGAGTGTCTTAACTGAGGATATAAGAGTATGTAACTGAGATATAGAGTGTCTTAACTGAGATATAAGAGTGTCTTAGCACATGAGATATAAGGTATCTTAGCACTGAGATATGAAAGTGTCTTAACTGAGATATAAGAGTGTCTTATACTGAGATATAAGAGTGTCTTAACTGAGATATAAGAGTGTCTTAACTGAGATATAGAGTCTTAACTGGGGGTATAAGAGTGTCTTAACTGAGATATAAGAGTGTCTTAACTGAGATATAAGAGTGTCTTAACTGAGATATAAGAGTGTCTTAACTGAGATATAAAAGTGTCTTAACTGAGATATAAAAGTGTCTTAACTGAGATATAAGAGTGTCTTAACTGAGATATAAAAGTGTCTTAACTGAGATATAAGAGTGTCTTAACTGAGATATAAGAGTGTCTTAACTGAGATATAAAAGTGTCTTAACTGAGATATAAGAGTGTCTTAACTGAGATATAAAAGTGTCTTAACTGAGATATAAGAGTGTCTTAACTGAGATATAAGAGTGTCTTAACTGAGATATAAGAGTGTCTTAACTGAGATATAAGAGTGTCTTAACTGAGATATAAAAGTGTCTTAACTGAGATATAAGAGTGTCTTAACTGAGATATAAAAGTGTCTTAACTGAGATATAAGAGTGTCTTAACTGAGATATAAGAGTGTCTTAACTGAGATATAAGAGTGTCTTAACTGAGATATAAAAGTGTCTTAACTGAGATATAAGAGTGTCTTAACTGAGATATAAGAGTGTCTTAACTGAGATATAAGAGTGTCTTAACTGAGATATAAGAGTGTCTTAACTGAGATATAAGAGTGTCTTAACTGAGATATAAAAGTGTCTTAACTGAGATATAAGAGTGTCTTAACTGAGATATAAGAGTGTCTTAACTGAGATATAAGAGTGTCTTAACTGAGATATAAGAGTGTCTTAACTGAGATATAAGAGTGTCTTAACTGAGATATAAGAGTGTCTTAACTGAGATATAAGAGTGTCTTAACTGAGATATAAAAGTGTCTTAACTGAGATATAAGAGTGTCTTAACTGAGATATAAGAGTGTCTTAACTGAGATATAAGAGTGTCTTAACTGAGATATAAGAGTGTCTTAACTGAGATATAAGAGTGTCTTAACTGAGATATAAGAGTGTCTTAACTGAGATATAAGAGTGTCTTAACTGAGATATAAGAGTGTCTTAACTGAGATATAAGAGTGTCTTAACTGAGATATAAGAGTGTCTTAACTGAGATATAAGAGTGTCTTAACTGAGATATAAGAGTGTCTTAACTGAGATATAAGAGTGTCTTAACTGAGATATAAGAGTGTCTTAACTGAGATATAAAAGTGTCTTAACTGAGATATAAGAGTGTCTTAACTGAGATATAAGAGTGTCTTAACTGAGATATAAGAGTGGTTCTTTAACTGAGATATAAGAGTGTTCCTTAACAGAGATAAGAGCACACCTTAACAGAGATATAAAGAGTGTCTTAACTGATGGTAAGAGTGTCTTTAACTGAGATATAAGAGCGTTCTTAACTGGGAGATATAAGATGTCTGAATCCGAGGATATAAGAGTGTCTTTAACAGATATAAGAAAGAAGTCTTAACTGGAGATATATGATGTCTCTAACTGAGATATAAAGAGCAGTCTTGAACTGGAGATATAAGAGTGTTCAACTCGAGATATAGAGGCACCCCAACTGAGATATAAGAGTGTTCTCTTAACTGAGATATGGTAAGAGTGTCTTAACTGGAGATATAAGAGTGTCTTAACCGATATAAGAGCGTCTTTACTGAGATATAAGAGTGTTCCGAACCGAGATATAAGAGTGTTCTTTAAATCGATATGATAAGTCTTAACTGAGACATGAGCAATCTTACTGAGATATAAGAGCGTTCAAATCGGAGATAAGAGCAAGTCTTACTGAGATATGCGTTATGTCTTAACCGAGATATAAGAGTGTCTTTAACTGAGATATAAGAGTGTTCCTAACAAGAAAGATATAAGAGTCTTAACAGATATAAGAGCAAACTAACTGAGATATAAGAGTGTCTAACCGAGATATAAGAGTGTCTTAACTGAGATATAAGAGTGTCTTAACTGAGATATAAGAGTGTCTTAACTGAGATATAAGAGTGTCTTAACTGAGATATAAAAGTGTCTTAACTGAGATATAAAAGTGTCTTAACTGAGATATAAGAGTGTCTTAACTGAGATATAAAAGTGTCTTAACTGAGATATAAGAGTGTCTTAACTGAGATATAAGAGTGTCTTAACTGAGATATAAGAGTGTCTTAACTGAGATATAAGAGTGTCTTAACTGAGATATAAGAGTGTCTTAACTGAGATATAAGAGTGTCTGAGATATAAGAGTGTCTTAACTGAGATATAAGAGTGTCTTAACTGAGATATAAAAGTGTCTTAACTGAGATATAAAAGTGTCTTAACTGAGATATAAAAGTGTCTTAACTGAGATATAAAAGTGTCTTAACTGAGATATAAGAGTGTCTTAACTGAGATATAAGAGTGTCTTAACTGAGATATAAGAGTGTCTTAACTGAGATATAAGAGTGTCTTAACTGAGATATAAGAGTGTCTTAACTGAGATATGAAAGTGTATCCTGTATTCCAAAAATGTGAGAGAAGCAGCTGACAAAGAATTTCTCCTGTAAGGTGAGCAGAGCAAGGGAGAGAACCGTATTTATACGAGCAGCATCGAATTGCAGGAACAATGAAAATACATCAGAATCACTATGCATGAATAAAGTTCTGTATAAAATCCGCTTGTTTTTTATGGTAGATGACACACACATGTAATGTGATTGGAAGAAAAACTTAATTAGAGCATCAACGGTAAGAAAATAGAGCCAGAAAAGATGTTACGCCACATTGACAATAAATAAGACTCTTATCACTGTGGAACTGAACACTAACTTGAGACCAGCTTGAGTTTTATCACTGTGGAACTGAACACTAACTTGAGACCAGCTTGAGTTTTATCACTGTGGAACTGAACACTAACTTGAGACCAGACTGCTTGAATGACCAACTGGTATTTTCCCTCGAGTGTATCAAGAGGCGGGTTCTGACACGCTCATAAGCATGGACACATATCACCAGGGATGCCGGGCTAATACAGTACATGCAGCTGTATCCTTCACATCAAAAAGGTGAGTTGAATTAAAGAAACTTCATTAATAGAGAGTGCAGGAGAGTGTATTAATTGTCTACTCACCACACTGCTCCCTCGTCTCGTCAGAGCCATCAAGGCAGTCAGGGCGGCCATCACACTTGTAACGGGTTGGGATACAGCGTCCGTCTGCACAGTTGAATGCATCAGAGGAGCAATGGGACACCTGACCACCTGCAATTATTTGAACTCACATGATGTCCTTGTTAACCCTTTTATAAGAATATGTGTCAAGGTTAATTTAAGGCAATATTTTTCCAGTACTGTACTGTACTGTACTGTGTATGTACAACCATCAGAGGCATTTTGGGAAACAGGTCAAAATGGGAAATATAAAAGAATGGGAAGGAATACACATGAATACATAATAATTAATTTACTATTAGTAGACCACCAGGCATTCCTGAAAAAATTGCCCTATAAACATTTTTATGGCATTTCTGTTAAAAGCAAGCATCCAGCTAAATCCATCACTTATAGCATAAGAATAAAAATGTGGGTGAATGCCACCCTTGAATTTTGACTTGCTCATTTTTAAGGTCAAATGTTTCATTTTTGTTCAAAATCATATTTTTTCATATTTATCACTTACTAACATCTACTTCAAGATATGTCCCAAAGGCGATGTTGTCTGTTATTCCCAAACATAATTGTGACTTTACAAACAGTATGTACAGTATGCATGAAAAATGTAATTGCAACCTTTTTTCTCAAAATCAACAGAGTAAAATGAGTCGACACCTCCATAGAAGAGGCCATTCTCAATAATTTTGCCAGGAATGGCAATGTCTACATTCTAGACAATGTTGCCTTGAAGTGAATGGTCCACCTTCCATATTCACAATGGGAGGACTGCACATCAACTTCAACTTACTGAAAGTCATTGGGCAACACATGGAGAATGTTGGTCTCGATAATTTGTAGACTGAATCTGGTGTGTATGTTACACATACCACTGAGACCATGATGGATGGCAAAGCATACTATCGAGCAATACAGGGTCTCAGGCAGGGTTGTTATGACTTAAATCAAATGATTTAAATCACATGATTTAAATCGATTTAAATCAGAGTAAAAAAATCATGATTTAAATCAAAATGATTATTTTTTACTAATAACTGTTTTCTCTTTTTATTCTACATGATTGAAAAGTATATGCAATGCAGCAGGCTAATACAGGATGTACCTCTCTAGTCTGGCATTCTGTGGTTTGGAACGATTTTAGTTTGTCCAATAGGTAGATAGGCAGCCCCTCAGGCCCCAATGTGGGTCAGTGACTTATGCCCGGGTGGGCTAATCCCCGTAAAAAAAAAAAACAACAACAAAGCAGCGGGAAATTAAGGTTTGTTTACATCCGGCAGTTCGGCTGCTCTCTCTCTCTGCTTGTCTATACAGAGTACAACATTTAACCCTTCAATATATATGAGCAGTAAATAAGTGTTGCTTTCATATTCTTATGTAGAGTAATGACGATATGTTTTCACATGTGCGCACTTACATACACGCAGTCTCACCTTTTTTTTTTACCATTAATGGTTAGCTACTTATATTGTTCCATTTATTAACACTAAATAACATTACAGGTACTTCAAACAACCATATTAATTTTTTTACAGCTACAATCAGGGTCTTATTTTCTTCAGTTTTATATGTAGAACCAATCAGTCACTGGTTTTGTAAGCTTTAACAGAAACAAAGCCGGCAGCCGTCTCGTCTCCTCGTGCGTTTTAATATTCCACGTATTATTAATAAATTGTATTGTCAATTTTGCACACACAAACATTAATTCAATAAAAACAAATTCAGAAACATTAATTAAAATATATATGAACAGTATATAAGTGTTGCTTTCATATTCTTATGTAAAGTAATGACGATATGTTTTCACGTGTGCGCACTTACATACGCGATCTCTCTTTTTTCTTTCCCATTATCGTTAGCTACTTCTATTGTTCCATTTATTAACATTAAATAACATTACTTAAAACAACCATATTAATTTTACTACAGCTACAAACAGGGTCTTATTTTCTTCAGTTTTATATGTAGAACCAGTCAGTCACTGGTTTTGTAATCAACGAAAACAATGCTGTCTCATTTCCTTGTGTGTTTTAATATTCTACGTATTATTAATGAATTGTATTGCTCATTTTGCACACACAAACATTAATTCAATCAAAAAGACATTCAGTAATAAATAATAATGAATCTTTTGTACATAAGAGAAATGACGCTGTTTACATGATTGTGCACGTCGTCTGAACGTTGGTGGGCCGTTCAAACCCGTCGAAATTCGAGTTTCCGCCATCAAAATTTTTAAATGTGTTGTTTTTTGTGTGTTCAAATAGAAAACGTCAAATTAAAAACTGGCGAAATTTGAGATGCTACTGTACGACATTTAACCCTTCAATATGTCTTCAAAGAAACCATGAAGCAGAGAAAGTGGTGCTAGTGCTTCCAAGCATAAGCACAAGTCACTATCTATCCAGGAAAAGGGTGAATTTCCATGGTCCGGCACCGGTCAGGTCCCGAGGTTGCCGGACTAGAGAGGTACAACCTGTAACATTATTTGGATTTACATAATTATGTACTGTACTATAGTCTGTTCTCTCCAGTTTTGCGAAACTTTGATCTTATCATAAGGTCTCATTATTAATGTATATATTTACATGAAATATATTGTTACTTAAGATAATAAATACTATTGAAATTCAGAAGAACTGTAGTATTCTCTTCTCCCGGCATTATATATCAGTCAATAAGGAGCAAGGGGCTGTAAATTTTTGCAAAGCTAGAGTGAACAGGCTGTAGGCATTAGGCTATACATATTCAGATATTCTATTTTTATCACTTAGTATGTTCGTTTTAACAGCGGACGATCGTATTTATCTTGTTGACTCTATAGACACAGAATCAAGACACACAGCTGAATATCTGTTGAAATTAACTGAATGTGCTACAAAAAAGTGTGAAGACAAATTTGGATGCACAGTAAGAAGCTGTGTAACAGATAATGCTGCTAATATGGCAAAAATGAGAAGTGAATTTGGACCAGATAAATCCATTATAACATATGGTTGCTCTGCACACCTGTTAAATTTGCTTTCACAAGACCTGCAAATCAAGAACATTAAGGAGCACATTACTGAAATCATTAAGTACTTCAGAAATAATCACATCCCAGGATCTTTGTATAGAAGAGCAGGAGGAACAATGCTAGTAATGCCATCAAACACATGATGGAACACAGTGGCAGATTCTATTGAATCTTATTTAAAGAACTGGGAAACCCTTGTCAAAGTGTGCAAAGAAAATAGTGAAGACATTGATAAGAAAATTGAAAGAAAAGTTAATGATAAGGCATTGATAAGAACTGCAGAAGACTATTTAGAGAGACTTAAGCCTATTGCTGTGGCATTGGACTGTGTCCAGAGAGAACATACCCTATTAAGTGATGCTGTAGAAATCTGGGTAAAACTGAAAACTGATATTAAGGAGTATTTTACAGATAAGAAGGATATGGATAATTTTGAAAAAAGAATCAAAGTAGCATTGACACCTGCCGATTTTCTAGCTAATGTGATAGATCCAAGGTATCAGGGCAGACATCTGACGCCTGAGCAGCGAGACATTGCAGAACAGTATGTGTGCGAGTCTCTTCCACATTTCCTTTCAACATTAATGTCCTTCCATGGAAGAAGGGCACCATTTAAAGAGGTCTATTTTGGTAAAGATGTTGTAAAATCTCTCTCACCCCTTGCTTGGTGGCAGTATTTTGCCAATGATATGACAGAAAATGTAATGGATGTTCCTAGGCAATTATTTACAGCTGTTGCATCATCAGCAGGAGTTGAGAGAATTTTTTCCACATATGGATTTGTACTCAATGGTAAGAAATCGCCCAGGACAGGAAAAGGCATCTAAGCTTGTCACAGTACATAAGCATTTCAATGTTCAACTAAGCTTATTTAAATGTTTTGAACTATTTTTGTTGTTTGCAGAATGAGAATATTGTGTTGACTTGAAGTTATTACCGGTAATTCTAATACACTATAATCCTACAAATGTAAGAAAATAAACTTGTTACCAGTATTACTTTTTTTTACAAAATGAGAATATTATTCTGTTGACTTGAAGAAATTAAGTTATTAATTTTTGAAACATTGTAATCCTATAAGAGCATTTATGTTAAATTTCATTATTACGTTTGGATTTGTGCACTCAAATGTAAGATATGTTACCAGTTTTCTTTTATTTTACAAAAAGAATATTATTGTGTTAAATTCCATTGGTACATCTACTGCATAAATATCTTTATGCCAATTTTCTGTTTATTATCCTGAATAAACTTTGGTTGAAAAATACTGTTTTTATGGCTTAAAAATACTATTTTAATGCAATTAGTAAAAAATAAAAAAATCCGATTTAAATCAAATAAATAGATTTTTTTATTTAATTTTTTTAAATCATGATTTTTTCCAACCCTGGTCACAGGTTGACCTATGATGCTCTTTGGCCTCTACTGTGGCCAATGTTTGAGTTGTGACTGACAGCAAATGGTCAAGCAGGTGATGCCAAAGTCAAGGAACTTGCCCGACTGGTGACCCAGCAGTTTAGACAGAAAGACGGCTCAGATAGGGTCGATCTCAATACAGTAGTGGACAAGTTGGCAGAGGGTCTTGGTGATGATCAACTCCAAGACCTCATGGATGACATACTGTACATGAAGATGGAGGAGATCTTGCTGGACTTCATTAGAGCAGAGAGGGATGGTAACTGAAACCTGCATCTGGAAATATTTGCTACAATACTTCAGTGGCTCACAATAAATGACCACACAAACTACCTAGCCGACATGAAGAGGTTAGAGAAGACAGCACCAGAAGTTCATGGAAGGAAACTTTGTGGTGAAGAAAAATCAACGGCTTTTCAACTAGGTCCCAACTGATCAAGCCATAGAATGGATGAATAAAATATGCAAGGTGCACTATGGAAATACAGTACTGGCATCACAAGAAATGACCAGGCCAGGGACAAGTTTTGCATTTCATCCTAATAAAAGTGTTCACACATCTCGTAGGACACAAGGTGTCTGTTTGACCTGGAAAATGATGAGGAAGAGGCCACCTTTGTTTCTTCAGATAATCTTCCTTCCTGGATAAAACATGATACTGATGATGTCAAGAAGCTGGTGACTCAGTTAATCAGTTTTATTGTGTTCAAGACAAATGCACTCCTGGTTTGTGATGCAACAAAGACATAGATGAATCAGAAAGGACAGTTAGAGTGCCCTCACTTAAGCTCTGGGAAAGCCTCCTGGTGACTAAGCTGTGGTCTTCGAGCATTCAGTGACAAGACAATATGGAAACACACAATGAGGTTGGACATTGTGTTCGACCACTACACTGGAATTCACTCTACAAAGGCAGCTATAAGAACAAAAGAGACTGGGGTAGAAGAAGCCCATACAGAAGCTCATTCATGGACTGCACATTCCAATGTCACAGGTCTGGAGCTAGTTTGTTGCACTGAATGAAAATAAGGCTAGCCTTGCATGCTTTCTCTCAGAAGCCCCCATGAAAGGTGCCAAAGAGCTACTGCAACAATACAAGTTGGTGGTGGGTGGCAGCTTCACTGATGTGAAAGATGCAGTCAGTGGAGTTGGCCATGATGGATCCCTTGCACACGTTGAACAATTCGTGTGTCATCTGTATGATACTGCAGACCAATACACCATCGATAATGCTTTCCTCCATCTATTTTCTAGAGGCGAGAAGGGTCTTAAAATGTTGCTCCAACGAGAGATGCCCTGGAGCTTCACCTAGCTTGTGCCAACTACCAGGCCAAGATATGGCTGCAGGCAGACCAGGATGACAGCAAAACCCCTCTCCAACTGACACACCAGGCTGGAAATTTACATCAGTTCACCTCCAAGTAGTCTGGACCCGGCTACCACCTCTTACAGATGCATGCTCACAACTTGTTACTTGTGGCTGCAATTCCAAGTGTAGGGCAACTCGCTGCGCCTGCTGCACGTGGGACCTCAAGAACATCCCTGTCTGCGGCTGTGATGCCACTGAATGCTGCAATTCAGCAGGCTGGTGAACATTTAGAACATGTTTGAACATTTACAAAATGTATGCCAGCATTTCAACCAAATGTATTGTAAGGGGTTTATATTCCAGTCTAATGATTGTTGGTACAGTATTGTTCAGTGTTGGGTTTGTTCCCTGTATCTGAAGCAGGTGTTGCTCATGGGTAGCTCGAACGGAGTCATAGTGCGGGCTGTAACCGTATGGCTGGTCACTTGGCTCCCTTTCTTTGACCCAGTTGGTCATCTGCTACCTCATTTTTATTCATGGTCACATTGGTGTGAACTGCTGCACTCCTAGTGTTGTATGTCAGCACACCAGCTAGGACACTGTCAGCCCTAGCCTCTGTGCTGTTCCTCCCAGGTCCATTACCAAGTACCTGTGCCGGTTAGGAGGATACATGCACGCCCGTGAAGTTGTAGAGAAGACGCCAATTTACTACCCGTGCCGTGTGTATATCCAAGACCCAACGCTTGACATCCAGTGTCTACACTCCCGACTTTTGTCCCGACCGGCAGTCCGGCACTTCCTTACCACATATGTTTATGTTACTCTGTACAGTACAGTCTTCAAGCCCATTATCAGTGTAAACACTGTAGACCTCTTTTGCTACATATATCTATAATCTTGTTCAATATCCTTGGTGAAAGTGGAAGTGTTCCACCTGACAGTAATCTTTAAAAGAACCAGGCGGCGTTAACATCTAAACCCTCGACATGTATCTCACCCAGAGACAATGTTCTCCTCACACTATGTTCTATGCTGTAATAAACATCTGAATGCACTACAACTGGTTTTCACAAAAGCTATGGTTGAGTACAGTACTTGTGAATTCACCTAATAGTGACAAAATACATATTTTGGAAATTTTTGGTTAATGTGACCTTGAAAAGAACCTCTAAGTTCAAAATCCAGGGTGGCATCCACCCACATACTATTCTCCATCACATAAACAATTAATCCAGCATGGATGCAGACTTTTAACAGAAAATTATGTCAAATTTATTTTTTGTGTACTTGACTGGTCTGCTTTATAGAAGGGTTATATTCTGTTTAACATCAATAATAATCTACTCCAGATACATCAGGATAGAAAAGCAGAAAAAAGAAGAGGGACAACACAAATCATATTTTATTTCATCTACTCCCTTTGCTCCAAGCCAATCACAGGAAGCTGCTAAGGTTTTGTTAGTGTTGGCACACATCAATGATTAATATGTGATTTATATTAGTGACTTTGACTGTGATCATGACTAAAAAAAAAAGAAAGTGGGCCAAATGAATATAATGTACAGTACAGTATGCCCTGACAATTTGCAGACCTCGATTATTCGCGGAAGACACCCTAGATGTACCCAAGAATTTTTAAGAGTAGTTTTAAAGTTGCTGGCATTTTCGCAGCCGAGACAGGGAGCCATTCATTCTAGAGACAATAATTTGTTTTACCTGTATTGTATATGTGTGTGTTTTGTGTGTGTAGTCACACACACAAAACACATACAAGTAAATAATAATGGAAAATCCTCTCACAAATAATCAGAAACAAGAAAACAAAATGTATTAAAAGCATTAGTCTACCCTCAAGTCAACTCCGTGCTTTCTTATAATTTTAATAACAAAGCACAGTGTTAACTTGAGGGTAGATTCTTACATTTTTAATTCATTTTTGTTATTGTGTTTCTGATTATTTGAGAGAGAAATTTTCCCATTAATATTTATTTGTATGCATCTGTGTGTGTGTGACTATATATATATATATATATATATATATATATATATATATATACACCTAGACCCCGACTTACGACTACGTGGACTTACGACCGTCGGGACTTACGACCGCCTCAGATATAGATAAAAAAATAATAATAAATGACACGCATTTTCTATACCGAAACGTTTCCAGTTAATGTAGTCTCCATGTATAATTAGAAAATTATGGGGGCCCCATGTGCATTCAGCTGACTACATTAAAGGTTAAGTGCTCAGTCACACTATCCATTCCTTATTATTTATTACTTTCACTGTACTGTATCCATTCATCATTATTCATTACTTTTACTGTACTGTATTTCATTGTAGATTTTTTATTAAAAAAAAAAAAAAAAAAAAAAATTTTATCTATATCGGACTTGACCATATCGGACTTGACCTGGATTTGGGTCCCTAACGTCGTAAGTAAAATTATATATATATATATATATATATATATATATATATATATATATATATATATATATATATATATATATATATATATATATATATACATTGTGGTAAAATAAAAAATCGTCCTAAGGACAACAAAAATAAAAAAGAATATACATTTCTTTGAGCATGAGTAAGCAACCCCCCCCTCCGGTCAGCAAATGTTATTCGCGGATTTGGCTATTCACAGCCATTTTGAGAGCATAACCCCCGCAAATTTGAAGGGCATGCTGTACAGCTCCTCCCCGACTTACGACTTGCCTCAGTCGTACCAAAATTTTGTCAAATTACGTATTTTCGAGTCCCAACGTCAGTGTACTGACAAAATTTTCGTTTGTAATCCACTTTAAAATGGCTGGCACGCTTAAAAGTGAGAGTTTTGTGGTGCTGAGAAGAAAAAGAGACACCCATTTTAGATTTTTTATGTATTATTTAAGCATTTTCGACTTGCGACCTGAAGTTGAGTCGCAAACCCCGTCGTAAGTCGGGGAGGAGCTGTATACAAAAGTTGATCAATTTTAACTCTAAATTCTATTTACTGTACCATTTTTATCAAAACTCAAGACTTTCAATGACAGGTGAATATGTTATGGTCAATCAGTCTGTGTGTAAGGTTAGAAACAGCCTGGAGGATGTGGGAGGGTACTGTACTGTACAATGTCTCGAGAGAAGTGCAGTACTCACGCGGGAGGATGACGACGTACACTACTGTCTTTACCGGTGAGTCAAGTTCTGCTTCAACATTGCATGTGTAGTTTCCTCCATCTGTCTCTTGCAGGTCATTAACAGTCAGTGTTGCTCTCCTGGTACCTTCGTCCATTTTAACTCTCTCCTGCCTGTGCACCATACAAACAAAAAACATTGAAACAAGTGAGATACCATGACTAAGTGCTCCCAACAGACCCTACCACTGCTCATGAAGTGTGTACTGTACAATATAGTCTCGATTTACGCAGATTTGGTTTACGCGGCACCTTGCCAGACCGACAATTTTTATTTACACGGTTCATTACGCGGGAAGCGTAAGAGAGAGCAAAAATTTTATCTTTTGTGCAAAATATATGACGTTTATATTCAAATTATTCGCAGTCTTGCAAGGAATCCAGCACTGTCAATTATAGTATCCTAAACATAGTCTGAGGTATTATTTATTACTAAACATAAAAACTTAGTTTTTTCTCCCAAACATTTCTCAGGGAGGGAGCACCCAGCGAGCGTGGAAGGGGGGGGGGAGCGGGAGGTGGGGCATTTTGATTGACAGATAGTGTCTGGGTGAAGTATTATTTGTTTATTTACTGAAGATATTTGTTTTTAGCTCATAAAATTCATAGAAATTACCAGGCCAGAATATAATTTACATTGCTGGAATTCTTATAAGATGGTGATTAATTTAAATATAAACATCCTAAAATTTGCATTTGACATACAAATTTTAAATCTAATTTAAGAATTTTATTAAAAGAGGAAAAATTTTATCTTTTGTGCAAAATATATGACGTTTATATTCAAATTATTCACAGTCTTGCAAGGAATCCAGCAATGTCAATTATCTTATCCTAACTTTAGTCTGAGGTATTATTTATTACTAAACCTGCAAGCCTAGTGTTTTTCCCCAAACATTTCTCTGGCAGGGAGGGAGGGAGGGAGTTGAGTCCATTATTTGAATGGACATTAACCGGCAACTGTATTTCTCTTAAATATTAATTGTGTGCATACCATCATAAAATTAAGATATTTTTTTACTACAATGTAACTATTGTGTCGGAAAAAGTGTAGTTTGTGGGTCGGCCCAGTCTCTATTTCAATTAATCCCATATGTTCTGTTATTTCGTTTACGCGTTTCTCGTTTTACGCGGACCTCCACGGGTTCAATTGACTGCGTAAATGAAGACTATACTGTACTGTAGTGCTTACCAGTGAGACAAAATATCCATGTGAACTGTCTGGCCTGGAGGGGATGATACAGTACATCCATTTGGTCATCAAGTACAATTAAGTTAAATTATTCCTATAAACTACTGTACAGTACTTATGTTTCTTTATAAATTTTCCCTTATTATGCTAATATCTGTTGTTCTAGCACATGTACTGTAGTTAAGAATATAGTAGAGGAGGTCCCCAGGTTACGTACGTCCGCCTTACAAGCATCAGCCAATATAAATGGCAGGGGGAAAAATATTATTAATTCAACCAAAAATAAATACAGAAATGGAAAAAATTAAACAAATCAAGAGTGAGAAATGATATACAGTGGTCCCTCGGTTAACGAATTACCTTCCATAAGAATCTTCAATTCGGTTAATGAACAAAAATTTGGTTAACGAAATTCTTACGAAAACATGTCAACATCTTTTGGCTCGCTCACCAGCTGGAGTATTAGTCCGCCAATACAGTAATCGGTTCTAGGGCTTATATTCGTTTCCATTGGAGTAAATATCAAGAAGGTTGTGTTATTCAATACTGTACTTTTCCAAGTTTTATATTAAAATTATTAGTCGTTTTAACACATATCTAGCATAATTGCAGTACAGGGAACTAAATTTTGGTGCGCCCATCAGCCACTTCACTCACCCACTAAGGCGTCAGTTTGTGTCTCTGTTCAGTGGAGGAAACTTGTGGGTCTCTTGAACACAGAATATTTTTACGTTTTTACAGTACAATTATTGGTCATTCTGAAATTTATTTAACATATTGACAATATATAGTGCAGTGCAGTGTTGATTTAAAGAAAATAATCTTGAATTACACCTAGTGAACTTAAAATTTTATTGGTGAAATGACGGCATCAAGCATGGGGTGATTTATCTTCCATCCCCACTTCCTTCTCTTCTCCCTTCTCCTCCACCTCCATTTCTAGTTCCCTCGGTTAACGAACACAATTCGTTCCGGAAGGTCGTTCGTTAACCGAAACCATTGTTTCAATGGGATTTTGGGTAATAGGTTTCAGCTCACCAAAAATTACATACAAAGTAAAGAAAAAAAATGCAGTAAAGCACACTTACTTTGAGGTGTGTATGTAGAAGGCTCCTGGTTGATGATGATGGGAAAGCATGCCAAAGCATGTCGAAACATTTTCGTAAGAATTTCGTTAACCGAATTTTTGTTCGTTAACCGAATTGAATATTCTTATGGAATGTAATTCGTTAACCAAAATTTCGTTAGCCGAGGGACCACTGTATATATATATATATATATATATATATATATATATATATATATATATATATATATATATATATATATATATATATATATATATATATATATATATATATATATATATATATATTGTGATATTGTGTGTAAATGAGGCAGGGTCTACCATTAGACAATACATTATGCTTCCAATATCTTCCCAGAAGGCAGTACCTCACTGTTTGATACCTTTACATGATGACTATTTTTTACTATCATTTATTGTATTTTGTCATTCTATTTCTTATTTACTCTTAAATTCAGTGATTTTAGATGTAAACAGTATTTTCTCGATTTAACGAACTACTAATTCAAGCCACCCCTTTCCGTTAAATTAAAATTTCTGCTAAATTGAATTTAAGTTATTTTCACTCGATTTAGCAAACTAGTTCACAAAATTGAGCATGATTCCATTAAATTTCGTGCCAAATGCACCACTTGGCATGTGGGGTTTGTTTACATCCACTCAGTCTGTGTCCTGCCACCACCGTGTGTGTTGTTCACAGCTACCTTTCGCTCTACATCTAGGTCAACTAACTACTGTGCTTAGCCATCATGCCGAAAGTCTCTCAGAAGTCTCAGAAAGGAAGTGGTGTGGGGTAGAAAGTCAAAAGAGTGTGAGTATCAATTGGAAAAAAGTTTGGAAATAATAGAAAAAAGTGAAAACAAACACTGAACTCCTAGTTTAAGGTAAGCCAATAATAATGTTCTAAAGGTTCTATGTACATATCATGCACCTGAGGTGTCTCTGTAGGTGTGATAGTATCAATGGAATTAATCTCAATTTAGTGAAAAATAAAGAAAAAATTTCTTCCGCTAAATCGAAAGTTCGTTATATCGGACTCCCTCAAATGAAGAGTATACTGTATAAGCACTTCGACTGATATAGTGGGATTTTAAACACTGTTCTGTAAGTACAGTATGCACATAGGGTATGTGCTTCGACTTAAGAACGTGCATTGGCAAGGAACTCGTACGTAACCCAGGGACTGCCTGTAATGGTAACATAAAACAGCAAAGTAAAGGTACAGTAGCAACTAAGAGTACAAGGGGTCCCCAACTTATGAACGCCTGCTGATACGATCAAGGTTAAACTTTAAATTTACAGTATTTTATTTACCTGACGACTTACCGGGTATTTTTTACTTTTATTTACTGTGTTTTGTCATTCTATCTCTTCCTTTCTCCTAAATTAAGTGATTTTAGGTGCATATAAGGACTTAGTCTATGATATAGCGGGATTTTAAAATTTTTTCTGTAAGTACGGTATGCACATAGCATGTGTTTCAACCTACATACATTTTCAACTTGAACATCCTCAGGAACGGAACCCGTTCGTAACCTGGGGATCCCCTGTATTGTCAAGAAAAGGGTTGTAGTACAGAAAAAGAAAGAAGAAACTCACGCATTTGTGGGAACAATCCAGGACATGCTATACTTTGAGTCGTCTTCCTGTTTGTAATTCACGGAGCAGATCAATGTGAGGGTGTCCCCCACATACTTCCTCAGTGGCCACTCATTAGGCTCCACCTTCAACTGTACGCTGGAGCAAGAATCTAGAAAACAAATTTATGATTCAAATAATATTTAAATAAAAGTAAGAACAATAAAAATAAAAGTACTGTAAAGCGATAAATAATAACTCTGCATTGAAAGTCTTGAGCAATAACTTAATGTGTACAGATGACATGAGCCAGAATGATACACTATAGAGGACTCCTATGGATAATCAACATTAAAATTTTCTTCGATTTAATACTATACTGCCACTGAAACAACTGTCAGAGAGATACAATAACAAATTCGGCAAATGGAACAAAAGAAGAGGCAAACAGATGGATGTAAAGTTTACTTGTGGGTACAAAGAAAATAAGCCATCAACTGAAGAACACAGAGATAAAGTGATACAGTAAGTCCTCGCTTAACGTCGGGGCTACGTTCCTAAAAACGCGACGTCATACGAAACAAAGTTAAGCGGATAAATTTTCCCCATAAGAAATAGATAAAATATGGGAGTTACGTTCGTGAGCCTCCCTCTGCCCCATGAAATACAATACATATACAGAAAATCATTGCCATTTCTATAGAAAACAGTGCATACATATACAACTACACAGTGTATTGGTACTCACCGATGGGCAGAGGTGGTAGAGCGAGTGTGTGGTGGGTAGTGAAGCAGAGGAGGTGGATGGTGGGAGGGGAGGAGGAGGGTGGGAGCGGAGGAGGGTGGGAGCGGAGGAGGAGGGGGGAGGAGGTGGGAGTGGAGGAGGAGGAGGTGGGAGTGGAGGAGGAGGAGAGTGGGAGGCGGAGGAGGAGGAGGGTGGGAGTGGAGGAGGAGGAGGAGGTGGGAGTGGAGGAGGGTGGGAGTGGAGGAGGAGGAGGATGGTGGGAGTGGAGGAGGGTGGTGAGTCACTGAGACTCTGCGGCTGCCTCCTCCTCCTCCTGCGCTGACTGGAGTTCCTCCACTGCTGCTTAGACCTCCTCCGTTGATGTTTGCTCTTCTTCCGTTGTTGTTTGCTCCTCCTCGGCTGCCGGCTGTTGTGAAGATGAAGATAATGATGCCCCTGCTGCTGCTTCTGCCGTCCCGTGACGAAAAAATGAATCCAGTGTTCACTACTTGGTGCTACTCTTCTTCTCCTTATACATCTCAGTGTAACAACCAAGACTGTCATCAATGCTGTGCTGAATCATTGAGCTACGTTCTCTGTTTGGGTCGTCATCTACAAGGATATGCATACCTTGCTGGATCACGGTGAACACTTCTGCCATCCTCTTGGAAGTTAGCGTTCGTTAAGGTTCTTCTTCATCGTCTTCATCCTCAACGGGACTGTGTTCTGTTAACAGTTGCAAATCTTCTTTGGTGAGCTCTTCTGTATGGGATGCCAGGACGTCCTCAATATCCTCTGATTCCAGCTCATTAAAGCCTGCCTGTCTAGCCAACCTTGAGGATGTCCCTATTCACTGCTGGGACTAAGTCCGTGAATCCCGTAAAACTGTTGACGCACTCGGGCCACAGTTTACCCCACACACCATTCAGGCAACTTCCTGAAACCTCTTCCCATGCCTTGCCAATGTTGTTAATTGCCTGAAGAGTGTTGAAGCCGCGCCAATATTCTCGGATCGTAAGTTTATTATCTCCGTCTGTAACTTTGAGCAGCTGGGCCATGGTCCGGCATAAATAATACACCTTGAATGCAGCGATGACTTCTTGGTTCATAGGCTGCATCAGTGCTGTCGTGTTGGGAGGCAGGAATAGAATCTTTACACTGCCATGCAAGTCGTCGAGATTGGAAGGACGAGCTGGAGCATTGTCAAGGATCAGAAGAATTTTGAATTCAAGTTTCTCCTTGGCACAGTATTCCTTCATTGCAGGGACGGTGTACACGTTTAACCACTGGCTAAAAATGGAGCCGATTATCCATGTCTTGTAGATCACTGGAAGGTAATCCTTAGAGTAACCTTTCAGGGCCCATGGGTTGGCAGCGCGAGAAATCAGCATAGGCTTCAGCTTGAAGTTGCTGGCAGCGTTCGCGCCAAGCAGCAGCAACAAGCGGTCTTTTGCCGCTTTAAAACCTGGCGCGTTTTGCTCTTCCTTTGAGATATAGGTCCTCTCAGGTATTCTCTTCCAAAAGAGACCAGTCTCATCCACATTAAAGACTTGCTTCACTGAGTAGCCTTCTTCCTCGATAATGTTTTTTGAATTCAGGCGGGAATATCTTGGCAGCAACAGTATCTGAACTAGCAGCTTCACCAGTCATCTTTATGTTGTGGAAGTTATAACGACGCTTAAATCGTTGAAACCAGCCTCGGCTGGCTGTAAAGGTCTCTTCCTTCGATCCTTCACCCTCTTCTGCCTTTAAGTCGTTAAACAAAAATCTGGCCTTATGCTGGATGGCCATAAGACTCACAGGGGCACTATGTTGATTCTGGTCCTCCATCCACATTGTTAGCATCTTTCCACCTTTTCTATCACAATGCTTCTAGTACGAGTTGTCTTAGTAGCACTCAGAGAAGAACCACTTCAAGCATTAACCTTAATCTTGTCAGCGTTGGTCCGGATAGTACGCACCGTTGTGGGGGTTAGTCCAAGCACAGCGGCTATGTCCACAGCACGTTCCCCTTTTTCAAAACGGGTTAATACTTCCATTTTCGTAGCCAGGGTAATGGTCTTACGTTGGCTTGTTACTACACTAGCATCAGCAGCACTTGATGGGCACTTGGAAGACATTTCAAATGACTAGAGTACAGTTTTAAAGCAAAAGCACTTAAGTACACACAAATGATGTGAAGTCGTAACAAAGACTGGCTCGGCGTCACTTGGGGACACTGTGAAGTTCCGCAAGTGAGGGTAGCGTGCCGAGCCAAGAGAGCATAGCTTGGATACACGAGAGAGGGTGATGTGCTGTAGAATGTCGTCCCTGACGACGCAAAACGACGTAGTATCCGATCACCGGGACGTTAAACGAATTTTTGGTCTATAGTTTAGACATAGTAACGAAGCAACGTTAAGCGGGACGACGTGAAGCAAGGACTTACTGTACCTGCTTTTGTTGTACCACCAAAACCGTTTTATCAGAAATTATCATGCAGATAGATAAGAGGTTAACATTTGCAAAGGGTGTACAAGTATTTGCCAAGTAGTCATGATACTGACAGCTCTGTCCTCTTGTTTCACCTTAATAAAACCCATGTTGTTCTGCTTCCCTCACTTAACAGATTTGTTTTTTTTTCAATTTCCACTGTAACTTATGTATATTCTTATAATATACTGTAGATGAAAACAAAAAAATAAATAAACAAAATAAATAAATATTGAAGTGATAACCGTGGTAACATTATGAGATGTTCTTATTACCACCATGCTGTGAGTACTATTCCAGATGATACTACATGTTACACAATATACGTATATCAGGTGCCTACAAGAGAGCTCAGGCTCTCAACTGGCTCAGCCATGTTAATACTGTATTATTATTATTACCGACTCTGTATCTGTGTTTTTCTGGCAAAATTGCAATAGGCCCTGTCTCATCAACAGAGCGTATTATATAAATGGGTCAATACATCTGATATTATATTCAGATTCACCACCCTGTAACTTTCCACTGTCTATGAGTAAGACATGAGATGGACACGTGAGCGGGCAACTCACCCAAGAGGGCGAGACCCATAGCTCAGCATTTCTGTAAGCACACACTGCGATGCCCCCAAGCTTCAGTAGCTCACCTCAACTCATATCGTAAGGACGTGACCTAACGTTTATCATACATAAGCGCCGTCCCTTTCTCATTCACTCCTAGACAGTGAGACTTACGGTTGATATACACTCAGGAATTATATCTACAACCTTTTATAATAAAACAAAGGAACTACCGTTTGGGTTTCGTTACTTAAAACCCAAATATAAATATGTGTGAACGGACTGGTTAATTGGACAAGCAGCCGATTCACAAATTATCTGTTTCAATATCAATTAAAAAAAACTCCATCCCCAGAATTTTCCGGGTGTCGGAAAAATTTTCTCTGAATTTTCCAGAAAAATCTATCTCAAACCAGAATTTTCCGTAAAATTCCAGCTTTGGGAATGATTTTCCAAGAAAATTTAACTTCCGGCTAACGAAAAGTTCTGGGTTTGAGGGATTCCGGCTAACAAAAATTTTACTAACTCCCACAATCTGGTAATGAAATGTTCCACCAGGCCCAGTGAATAACATAGAGATATTTTTACAGTACCTACTGTACACTATTTAAGAACCTTTAAGCTGTATATCACTTTGCACCATAAATTGCACATTTTATATTACAATACTACTACTACTACTACCGTAAACCCTCGATAACTTGGCATTTGATAAGTCGTAATTTCCTATAACTTGGCATGGATATAGACTCGGAATGTATTATAGTATAACTCGGATAATGCCGAGATATAAAATTATCTGGGGAAGATCTCGGCATATCTGGCATGCGGGTAAGAGTAACACCACGCGGGACACTGGGAGGTTGGGCCGCGCTCCAAGCATGAGTTAGTTTGGCGATTGTTATTGTTGCGGTCAGGTGTGCGCGGCTTCTATCTCCACACTTTGTTCTTTGCTTGTGTTCTCCCTCATCAGACATCACTTATATGGCATCTGCACCTTCAAGGAGCTATAGGAAGGGCATGAAGCTCAAGTTCCTGAGTCTTCAGGATAAAAATAAAGTGTTAGGCTGAGTGGATGCTGGAGCATCCATGCATATGGTGTGTGAAGAGTATGGGATCAAGTCCAGCACATTTTATGAATCGGGACAAGATTCGGAAGCACTTTCAAACTCTAGAGGACGCTGGAAGCTAAAAAAAAAAGTGCAGAAAAGAATTGAGCCAGCAAAATTTATGGATTTAGATCAAGCTGTGTACAAGTGGTACAAGCAGGAACGTGCACCAGGCATAAACGTACGTGGCAGGGACATTCAAAATGCCGCAGCTTGCTCAGCACAACACCTTAAGATGCAAGGCTTTAACACAAGTGCTGGTTGGCTTTTTAATTTTAGAAGTCGTCATTGTTTGGTTAACCGGAAA